ACTTTAAAAATTAGTATATATTGTTTTAAACACAAAAGAGCTCAAAACATCAAAATAAGAAAATACCGTAAATAAAAAAAAGGTTCTCTGTTATTTGTTTGGTTCAAAACCTACAAAATCTTCATTGCTTTCACTGTAATTACTTTTTTTATTATTTAGGGAGCATTATAAATAGTTATGTTTTTAAAAGAAGAAAATAACTACTATTGTTATGAATAACACATTCAATTGAATTAAATTATGCATGCCTATTTAGATATATTTACACATGGCTTGTGTATATCGTATATATATACATATATATTATTCATACCTTCGGTGTATAGGACGAAGGCAGATTTTGATATCAAATATTGTTGACGTCACATTACTCGAACCTTCACTATTTTTCTCGTTACCTTAACTGAGTATTGTTAAATCATCGCCTCCGTTCGTGTACTTTACAGAAAATTCGAGGCCTCGGTGAACATCGTATAAATATAGGCGACCAAGCGAGAGCAAGTTAAGAACTAAAAAAAGCGAAGTTCAGTGAAGTCAAGTGCAGTTCAATCAGAAATTGGTTAGCGAAAAAAAACAAAGAAAACGGGAAATTAGATGGCGTGTGAGTGATTATCGGTAACGGGTGATATTTTAAAGTGAATTTCACAGATTAATAGAGATAAGGAGAATAATTTGTCTTATCAAAGGGTGTTCTAAAGTAATTGAACCCGTCTGTGTGGACACTGACAAAAAAGGAGACAATTATTTGAAGCTCAGAATACAACTGTGGTAACCCATGGGGTAACGTAAGTGAATTATTCACTAATTTGTACAGTGAAAAAAGAAGGGAAACAAAAATAGTTTGTCTTGTCAATCGGATTCTAAAGTAATTGAATCAGCCTAAGTGGACTTTTGACAAGAAAAGAGAATAACGTAGAGTTTTGGATATACTGTAATTTCCTATAGTGCAAATAATTTTTGCACATACGTTTGACTTGTTTTGAATGTATTATTTTAAAACAAGTGGATTGTGTGCTGTCTGTTTATTGTTCGAATTTATCACCAACAAGTCACAGACACTTACTGTAGAAGAATCTTCTTCCTACATATACATAAAGCCCTGACAGTGAGCCTTCATAAACTCACAATTCTATTTAATAATATTGTAAACGACACCAAGAGGTATACCCATCTTCACTGCAATAACCATTTTGGATAGGATATTTTTTTCTTTAACTTTGTGATTTAGAGCCTGGTTCTGGAATACTTTAGGGTATGGTTTTGAAACCTATTGCATTAAACATTCTACTGTATGAGGTTTTTCGTTCCTATAGGAAACACTGAAGACTCCCTTTTTCGAAATGTCATGTTCTTTAGCTTTAAACTGATTAAAAATCCTGTTACTCGAATATCCTTCTTTGGAAAGAGTCGCAACATGTGCCTCGAGCCATAAGTAATTTGACGGTATTCCACCGTCTAAAGGTCGGAAATGCACTGGAAACCTAATATAAAAGTTCTAAATATGTTGCCCCGTGGTACCATGGCTTGTATCAGCTGCAACACGTCACTTTATTAGCATACACAACGTTTTTTGTAAAATGAGACTAACCCTTTGTATAGTTCTGGCGTAAAATGAGCAAGGGAGATGAGAAAAATATGGAAGTAACCTATATGGTGAACAAGAGTTGTATTCCAGTATATTTTATGAATAAATGAAAGGAATGTTTATGCGTGAAAAACGTTGATATTGGAGTGCTGTTTATAGAAAACCTTTGCGGAATTTGTTATAGCATTTTAGGCACAAAGAAAACTTATTAACTCCAGTAGACTTACAACTGAGATTTGTTAAATATATGGTTTTGTGTGTTTACAAATATGCCATATTTTTTTATTGGAGAGGAGTGTTGCAGAGTTCATTTCAAGCAAGTTACTGCCCTTTTTTTGTTTGAAGATTTATTTTCATTTGTAGAAATTTAAGGGTTAAGTAGCTTATAGCGAAGAGTGGTGAAATGACTTTCAATTACTTCAGCTATAGGCTTAGCCATCCTTTGGAACACATCTCTCCACAACGAACAGAATGAAATTCAGTTACATTACTATGAAAAGTATATTAAACATAACATAATGCATTCGAATGGCATGCACAGGTTTCACATTTATTATAATAGCAAGTATTCGTTAGTTGGAACATGGAATCCCTTTTTCTCTGTCTCGAACTGTACTGGTAGAAGCAAGGTTTAACAATGGAGGGAAATAATTAGAAGCGTCCTAATATATACATTAAAAACATAAAAATCAGTTAAAATGGAATGTTATGAGAAGAAAAAAGCGAAAAGAAGATTATGTTTCTTTCACAGCTCACTCAGATGTCCAAGGGCTGGAACATTGCCTACTTTTATGATTTTAGAGGCAAGAAGCAAGCTGCCGAAATTTCCAATTAGTTAGTCGACCTGGACCAAGAAAAACTAAAAGCTTCCGCTCGACAGGAGTAATTTCTTTAGCACGAAACCTTTCAAATAAACCTTCTTTCAGTTTTTCCAGCATTGTTAACATAATCAAGTGACCAATACGATGAACAGTACTTTACAATGAGATCTCACAAGTGTAACAAAGTTGCACCAAACTATAATGAACTTTTTTTAATATCTATTGTTATGACTCTTTTTATTATTTTAAGAACAATCAGATTATCGGTAGAGAGCTTCAAAATTTAAAATTCACGATATCAGTAATTTTAACAGCAGACTATAAACAATTATTTTCAAGAGTTGAATAAAATATTCTACAAATGCATACAAATAGTCTTAGGAATATTAGAATAAAAATCCATTTTTGCCCAAATTATAATAATTTTTGCTTTATACATAAACAAATCAGTTTAATTTGTTTTCAATGTTTCAGTCTTTATCATATAAAAAGTCGCGGTGCTCTTTAGATGATTTTAGCATTTTTCAAGGTAACGATTTGCAAGTTGTGTTTTGCAATAGGCATCTTCTTGATAAATATAGAAAGAGGTTTCTTAAAAAAATAATTTTCCGTTCCAGCCACCTCAGAGCCAACAACACCAGATCCACTGGTGGCTCCAAAGTGCGACACTTCGCAATGTCAACTCCCAGACTGCTTCTGTAGCTCCGATGGTACCCAAATTCCTGGAGGACTGAATTCCGAAGAAACGCCACAGATGATCTTTTTGACATTTGATGGAGCTTTGAACTCTTTGAATTATTATCACTACCGAGGAGTTCTAAAGGAAAACCGAACGAATCCAAACGGCTGTCCTATCAAAGCGACCTTTTTTGTGTCTCATGAATACTCTAGTTATTTTTACCCTCAAAAATTTTACTCCGAAGGTCATGAACTTGGTGTTCATTCTATTAGGTAAATATTATAATATTATATTAATGATTTCCAACATTTGAATCATTTTCAATTGGCCCTAAGGAAAACACTTGCACAGTGTTTTCTTCATAATAACTTGAAATAGTTTAAATATAGAAAATAGATAGGATATAGATACCATATTTTAGAAAGAAGAGTATGTTAAATCAAAATATTTAACAAAAAGTAATAAAAGAACAAAAATGCATCTTGAAAGAAAAAAAAAGGCGTACAAAAGGCATCACACAAAAACTATTTATGTTCTGAGTATGGTATAAATAATATTACTTACCTTATTTTCTCCTTAGCCACCGTCTTCCAGAAGATTGGTGGTCGAAAGCTTCGTATGAGAATTGGACCGAAGAAATGGTTGGACAAAGAGAAATCCTTATTAAGTTCGCGAACGTTTCCCGTGATTCTGTTCTTGGCAGTCGGTCTCCTTTCTTGAAACCAGGTGGAAACAACATGGCCACTATGATGTTCGACTATGGTTTTGTGTACGATTCCTCTATTGTTGTACCTCAATCGAAGACGCCTATTTGGCCGTACACCCTGGATTACCAGATTCCTCATCACTGCCTGTCTGAGACCTGTCCCACTCACTCCTTCCCTGGCATCTGGGAAATTCCCCTGAATACGATGTATAGTGAAGATGGCACAGGTGGACTATGTGTCCTTGCTGACCAGTGCGTCCTTCCGAATGACGAAAAGTTGGTCTTTGACTTCCTTATGGAAAATTTTCTTCGCCACTATAAGACTAACAGAGCTCCTATGGGACTTTTCTTCCATGTCAACTGGTTTAACGAAAAAATTAAAATTCGAGCACTTAATAAGTTCATCGACCACCTTTTGGAAAATTATCGAAATGTATGGTTTGTCACTATGCAGCAGGTCCTCCTGTGGATGAGAAATCCTGTCACTAGCAAAGAAGCCAGCAACAAATATATTCCCTGGGCGTGTGAGAAACCCAAAATTTCTTGTAACATCCCAAAAACATGTGCTGTCCCATTCAGCAAGAACCGACCTTATGATGTGCGTTACATGCAGACTTGCATGAAATGTCCTGTCCAGTATCCTTGGGTTGGTAACTTTGAAGGAACCAATAATGGTCAAAAGATTCTTGATTTAACTGCTGGAGCAGAAAATGAAGCCCTTAGAAAGAAATAAACTACCTATGAACCGTTTGCATGCATGATTTAATATGCTATTTTAATTTAATATTATCGATCAAACTTTGGATATATAATTATTAAACATTTATAGAACTGTGACTTTTTTACCAAAAAATTAAAAGCATCAGAAAGAAACAAATACCACATAAGATGTCGTCTTTAAAATGTTTCTATTGTAATTTAATTAGAGGAAACACTAAAACATCACCTGATACGTATGACTAAGTTAAGCAGTTTTTAAATAGCTATCTATTATCACATTTTGAGCGTGAAACAATCTGAACTCTTTAAAAAAACTGAATGATTGTTTGAAATTATTTCAGTTTCAATTGGAATGCATTTCAGTATTAAAAAACCAATTAACAATATAGTACAAAAATAAAATGTGAAATATGATTGTATTAGAACATTGTTTTATGTACTTTGATGTTAAACGTATGAAAATAAAAATGTTATTCTAAAGAAAAAGTTTTCGAATTCACTGACAGTAAAGGCAAATTATACAAACAGTATTTTGCAGTCTTGAAAATATTTGAGAGAAAAAAAGTATAGGTTCATTGTAATTATCATCAACATTTTCATCTAGTTTAGATTCCTTTGTTATTATAATTACGAAAGATATTCAAAGAGAAACAAGACTTTATCTTCCACACGATGGATATAATTAAACTCGGAATAATAGATCATAAACCGCATGTTGCTAGACAATGAGTTCCTGCGAAATGTAATTTTAGATTCGTATTGTTCATCATGTAATAACTGAAAATATAAACAGTCCTTGATCTAACACCCTTTTACATCCATTCTTTTTGGCCATCCCAGAAACGATCTGCGTGGATAATACATCACCCCAAATAGAAACTGATATTCAGAAATAAGTTGAATGTAATAGATTACCAACACAACACGTGAATTTTATCAAACTGATATGAGGAAGCTCAAAAGACGAAGGAGGGTACACATCATTCTGAACTGGGACTATGGCCAGAAGCGATAACTTGTTTATACACATCATTCTGAATAGGGACTATGGCCAGAAGCGATAACTTGTTTATACATATCATTCTGAACGGGGACAATGCCAGAAGCGATACCTGGTTTATACATATCATTCTGAACGAGGACTATGGCAGAAGCGATGACTGTTTTTTGCCCACATCCTCAAACCTTGATGAGCATTTATTAGTACTAATATAACATAGCTTGTTTTGAGGAAATAAAATCCCGCCCCTTTTTGAACATCTCTCATTTTAAATTAAACGACACTTCCTTTATTGATGACCTTTTAATCCTTATTCTCCCACCCCATGCTAGCATAATATTTTACAGAAAAAAAGAGGACTAAAGTAACGATCATTTAGTATATACAACACAACTATACCTTTGTTTATAATAAATTATAGGTAGGTAATTCGTGTAAGTCTTAGGTGTAAGTGGGGTAGGGACTTAAGGACAAATTTTTAGGCTTACAGCATAGATGGACGAATATTTAATAAAATAGAAATGAACATATTTTACTTAGCACAGAGAACGTTAAAACATTTTTAACTACTGAATATAATAACTCTTAGTTAGCGGAGGCAAAATTAGTTGCCTCTAGAATATAAAAAAAAATGTATGTTACATGAGAGGAACACACAATAACACAGACACCAGTTGTACGGCATATATGTAGAGCAAGAGTTATTCTAAGCACAATTTTTTGTCTGTTATATTTTGAACAACTATTTTATGTTTTACTCTAAATTAAAACACGTTTTTTTTATTTATTTAATCATCATGTTGAACTATTGCGACAAAAAAACGCACCATAGCTTGGTCAGTATAATATTGTGAAGTTGTTGTTTGCTTTAGTTGTGTCAAACTTTAGACTTTAGTGTTTAAGTCCATAAACTTACCACTACCTCACCGGCAGACACTGATATTGTGAAAATCATCTAATCAATATATTAACTGTTAAACAAGAAATGAAAGCTCTGCGCTGTTTTGACTTGCTTCTTAATGTCTAATTTTAGTGCATAGTCATGAAAATGTTAAAATTCTAAATGTTAAAAAGACCCGGAGTAAAACACAATATATATTTTAATTACGTATTTGAACTGAGATTTAAATTAAGTTTTAGTATTTCTGTACAAATAAACTACAGAAGGATTTTTATTTATGTAAATGCAATATAAAAATTATGACTTTTATCAAAAACTTCATTATTCCTAGTAAGTGAAAAACTCCTGGAAATATGTTAATAGAAGCTATAACAAAGACAATATGAGGGTTTTTACAGAACAGTAGATATATTGATGGCACGTGTGAACTCCTGTTGAGATTTTATGAAACTACTTAAGTATTTGGAAAGAAAATTCTTTGACTATACTATTATAAGCTCTTCTACGTCGCTGATTATTGCTTTAGTCGCATTCTTTGGATTCAAAAAAATAAAAGTTTTTTACAGTTGATTTTAACAAATAAGACACTAAATTCATGATATATGGTCGAGGAAATAATGTTTCGTTTTTGACTGTACAAAGATAAATAAATTCGGAGAAGTTTTAAGGCAGATGTTCTCAATTAATTAAGTATTAGATTTTGAAGAACTTCATATGTAATAATAAAATAAATTTGTTAGTAAACTTATTCAGGCAGGGTCTGGCGTTGCTGGGTTGATAGGAGTGCCAGGACTGTGAATCTGAAGATTTATGGGTCGGATCTGTTGCTGCAAACTCGCACTTTAGGACCGTGGCCCATGGGTTTGCTATAAGTGCTACAAACTCGCACTTTGGGACCGTGGCCCGTGGGTTTGCTATAAGTGCTACAAACTCGCACTTTGGGACCGTGGCCCATGGGTTTGCTATAAGAGACACGACCAAGTCCAGAGTAGCCAAAGAATTGACCTTCTCTCAAGTTTACCAAATAATGCTTGAGTAGTTTTGCGCAAAATTCTCAACGAAACAAACTTATTTAAACATAATTATTTACAAGTTTACGACAGTATCAGACAAACCAAAATGAAATTTGTTATACAATCAGACAACTATGTGTAAAAATTGTTCACAACATGTACAAACAACAACAAAAATACTTATAAATAACATACTTTTATTGAAATCAGTAAATACGAAAATTAAAAAACAAACTCCTACACAATACAACTACCTAATATAACTGATAAAGTAATATGGGCATTTTCAGTATCGCTAAGTCAAAAAAGGTAAAGCAAAAAATGTTTATTAACAATTCCAGTATGGTATAACACCTGACTATGTCCATTGTACTCAGTGCATCTGATACTACTCCAAATGTCGTATCATAATTTAAAAAAAGTTTTGATTAAGATATCTATTATTATTTAAGTGCTACTGTTTGGAACTTTTTGTTCTAACTTACAATATAGACCCTCACCTTGTTTTAATTTTAAAAGCAAAACTAATTATCTGTCGAATGTTAATTTGGAGGCTGTAAAAACAATTCATGTAAGGAACGAGTAAATTTATGGTGTTTCGGGACGAGTTAGGAGGAAAGGGACGCACTTCAAATATTAAATAAAATTTTTGAAACTGATACCGCCCATTTAAGATTCAAGGAAACAACGAGTAAAGTATTATTCCGAAGGGTACAACTAATAGTGGACTTTATATATTATTTTCAGTTCATGTTGAGCTCTCTTTACATTTTCAAATGGGTGTGGTATAAAAATATACTACAGGTTTCTTTCTTTCTGTATTGTTAAGGTTGATTCTAAAATTATTAATTAATTCTTAATATATACAAAGATGACACAAAACACACGATCAAGAAAAACTTAGTGTTTTCTCGGAATATGTCTGATCTCTCTTTACCATATCGAGTGTCGCCCTTTTAGACAGGAATGAAAACGCTAGAGGTCCTTTCGCTGACTCATTGGGTAAAACCTGGACGAATCTCGAGAAAGAGTGTCCACTCACGTCATGGCGACATAGGAAAAAGAAAACCAAGGTTTCCCTTTAGATAAGAGAGTGTACTCAAGGCACTTCTTGCTGGACTCTTGGGGTGAACAGTTCTGGTCTGATTCTGAAGTGTGATCTTCCTTTTTAAAGCTGAAAATGTAAATACATACACTGTGTTTTTATCTAATTTTGTTAGTAAAGTTTCTTGTTCTTTTGTACTTACGTTTAATGGATTCCTTGTCATTGTACATTATATACTCTGTCCAGTCTGTTTGCCATTTCTAGACTCAAACCCAGTCGTTACTAATCCAGTCTTGTTCTGCGATAACCATATCTTGACGAACATGCTATTATTACTATTAGCAGACCTATCCAATACTTGTTGTAGATACCACAAATAGAAAGTAGAAAGATGGAGGGTTGTTGACAATTTATGGAAACTATGTACACAGTCAGACCATCTCACACTTGTTCTCATGGCTTGTGATCGTACAGCTGGCCTTCTTCCTGCAAATTCAGTTAAAGTATGGAGATTTGAAAGTGCAAACGGCTTCTAAAATTAATTTCTTCTGGGAGGGTTACATTACATAAGCAGTGATAAAAATAAAATAAATATGTTGTGTTGTTAATTTCTATCCTAAAAATTCGATTAGTAAATAAAATATAATTACCATTCATTTGTTTCATTTGGTTGACATCATAACAATTGTTCATGAAAATTGATGATATACACCGTTAATATGTTTGTTGTATCCAAGTCCGCTTAATGAATCCTGGTATTGGGCTAAAGACCTCGTCGGTTTTGAATATAGCATTTGCACTATGATTGACAAATTGAAAACTAGTAACAAAAAAAAATCAAAAATTAAGTATGATGTAGAGATGGCAATGTCAAAAAGTACAGAAACAGGTAGAGATGAATAAACAAAGCCATGGAAAAATCACTACATAAGTAGTCAAATCTTTCCAAGAATAACTTTTATCTACAACTGAATGTTGATTCCCTGTCAGTTTCATGAATTCAGGTTTGAATAAAATCATTTAAACTGAATAGTACTGTATAGTTCCTACAGTGGCTAATAACCATAAGCTTATAAGACTGGTTCAGTATTTACTGGCTAATTATTAGGGATTTGATTCTGTACTTTTTGGCATTGCCATCCCTACATCATACTTAATTTTTGCAAAATTTGTTTTATTACTTGTTTCTCCACTTTTTTAAAAACAATATCATTGAAGTAGGTTAATAAGTGAACATTTGTTTTATCTTAATAATTCAATGGTATTATATATTGTTAATATGATATTAGTTTTGTAAGTTTCTGCAACAATGTATGAATATGTTATATTGCAATTGGTCGATGTAAAGGCTGAGCCTATGTAGAGTACTGTCCCTTTCATATTCTTACGACAGCGGAAATCACGTGACGCTGGTGACACGTGATAAATTTCTCGAATGATCATGAATGATCGGAGAGGCCCGAGTTTATTCGGGACGCCCTCTTCTTTAGTATATAAGTCTGGCAAGGAAAGCCTGCGGCAATGAATGAAGAGAGTTCCGGGTAACTTATGATTCTGTTTCGAGCACTCTGTTTGGCACTCGTACAAAGCGATGTTATCGAGATTGTGAATCGCTGTGATTTATAGCGGTTATTTGAAAAGTAGTTAAGTTTAAAGTGACGAGAAACGTACTGATTGTG